GCCACACACACTACCCAAAGGTCTCTGGGTGGCTTACAACAGTTCTGACTTAATGGTACAGAAGACACACACAGAGGTTTGCACAGAGGTGTAGTACACCATTTGGTGCAATCTTTGCATCCACAGATAAGGATTGGATGGTTCCGGGTCAGGAAACTACACCTCAAGCAACCCTATTTGATCTACTTCCCTTTAAAGAGAAAGAAGAAGAAGAAAAAAGAAAACAAACAAACAAAAAGATCCCCCTTCCTTGTTACTCATGTTTCCTTGTGAGCTACTTCCCTTTAAAGAGAAAGAAGAAGAAAAAAGAAAAGAAAAAAATTCTCCCTTCCTTGTTACTCATGTTTCCCTGTGATGGGTGAGTGTGCCAGGTGGCCCTCATGCTCACAACAGGGTATCTGGCCCCTTTAAGCAGGCTAGGAAAGATAAGGCAAAAAAGGAATTCTAAAACCAAGAAGGGAAACAGGAGAACAGCTGATGGGAGGGAATCAGCCTGATGATGAGCACCTGGCTGAGGCAGGCTGGGGGCGGATAAAAAGCCAGGGAGAACAAGACTTTGAGGTCTTTGACTGAAGTACAAGTAGTGGAAGATGAATCCTGTGTGGATGCAGAGGAAGAATTGCTGCTGCCAACTGGGGTAGAAGAGGTGGTGTGTTTCTCCCAAGCCAGATGGGCAGCTTCTCACTGATAGTGGACCTTCCACCCACCTGTCATCCTGGAAAGGCAAAGAGGAAGGGGAAGGGATGGGCTGTTTTCCCAGAGCTCTTGCCTTGGTCTGAACAAACCTACCTTGATACATGTCAAAAATCTCATCCTGCTGGACTTAGATTTTAGGGGAACTCAGGGAGGGTAACTGAGGACCCTATGTTAAGGAAGGCTTCCGGGGGCCAGTGATCACCCCTCAGTGTTCTGCTCCTACAGGGAAAGGGACTCTGTACAAGTGAATTTAACTTCAAATAAAAGCTCCTCTGCTCCTGAAGTTGAGTTCATGGATTCTTTGTCAGAGGACCTAGTCGCTGCCAACTCTTTAGGCCAGGAGGCATTGCTCCTCATTCTAGGATGAAGCTTTAAAAATTGTTTTTGAAAAATCTTAAAGACACAGTGCATCAGTGCTGCTGTAGAACAAACAAACAAAACTTTCCTTCCTCCATTCTTCCTTCAGTGAAGGAGCAGAGGACACACACACACCATATTCTATGAGTTTGGATGATGAAAACTACCTGTTACTCTAGAGGGCATTAACTATGACTTGTTTGTATGCCTGTTTGATTTAATAATATTAAATCAGCCAACATTTTCATGACATTTCAGCATCGTTTTGCATCAAAAGACCTATGTTTTCAGGATATTTTGACCTTTTTCTTCCCTGTGGAAAGTAAGTCATCCTTAATTTTTAAAATCAATTATGTACAAGAATAGCCTAAGATTCTGTGGTTTTTAACAAAACAAGTCTTTGTTAATAACTATTCATATTAATCATTTTTAATATTAATAACTAATGTTCAAGGAATTGAACAATAAATGGAACCGGGTAGAATTTAGAAAGATAGAAATATAAGTGGGTTGCTCAGGAATGTGAAATCCAAATAGAAATTGAATTCCATCCATTAATTGCATGCTTCCTTGTTAACACAAGTGTAGTTTTAGTGCAGAGAAAGTCATTATTATAGCACTGATTATCCAATGTGACATCTCTCTTATGGTTCAAATATGTGGCATATCCAAGTTTTAGGTGTTTTTAGGTTGCTCTTCATACTTCTGACATTCCGAATGCACTTACCAAAAATCCATATGTTTGGATTATTATTTGTATTTAGCATACCATGCACTGCAGGTCCCTCTTACATCTGCCAAGAATAACATTAAACTCTCACACACACCTTAACAGGAAGTTTGTAATACTTCTGTTGAAATCAAAATGAGGTCCAAACAACCCACAAATCTGACTGAATGACATAAAAAAAGAAGAGACTAAAGCTTATATGAATAAGAAAAACTGGCCATAATCTCTAATATTTGCCCTTGAGTCCAGTGACTCACAGTGAGCTGAACTGTCTTATGCCCCATTTAAAAGAATTTTTAAAATATGTTTATTTTACCATAATAAACTTTGGAATTTATCTCAGGTAAATTTTGATTACCCTTTGGATACTCATGACAAAATCCTTAGAGTAGCCAACATGTGCAATTAGATATTCTGAGAGTGGGAAGGTTGCCAGCATTGGATTAGAGAATTTGGGAGCCCCATATGGAGTCATAGTTTGGGATCTTAAAGCTTGACACTATATATGCATATGTGTCAAATGCTGTCAATTTTACCATGAGAAGTAACAGAGCTCTATTCTGCCTGGAAATCATTCTCTCTGCTCAGAAACCCCTTGCTGTTTCAGTCCTGTTTGTAATGATTTGGAGTTTAGGGGAATGTATGTTGCATACACCCATCCTCACTTGCTTCATGTTATGAAGAGATTCCTGTGAATGGGCCCATTTCAGTTGAGTTTCAGGTAGAGTTTGGAGTAGTTACTTTTCCTGGACTGTGACAAAGGGCAACCCCAGCCAGCACGATCAATAGTACTATTAGTCATGGTGCTTGTAGTACCACTGACTATGTTGTTCTATACTGCCTTGCAGGATTGAGCACTGAAGGAACTTATTTGGTAGTTTCTGTTTTTTCCAGTCAGGAAAAAAGCAGATGGTGACACTTGAGAACTGTCTTAGGGGAAAATCATTTTGCACTTATTTACTTTTAGTGGTTGAATAGTTATGTCAAGCCATTCGAGGAAGTTGTTAGAGACTTTGGGATTTGATGTCATCAATATGTTTGTAGAGTCCAGTTATCTCTTGCCTATCTGTCTGTCTGTCTGTCTGTCTGTCTGTTTATTTATTTATTTGGCTTTTATATCGCCCATCTAGATGAATCTACTCTGAGTGGTTTACAGTCCAAAAAAGGCAATAAAATTAAAATAATCAATAAAAGGACTAAAACAAGCTTCTTGTCAGCAATGTCCCTGAGCAGGTACCTATGAGGACTTTTCATTCACTCATCCATTTGTTCATTCCAGTTTATTCCACCCTTCTTCAAGATAGCACACATGAGCATATATATACACATACACTTCCCTGTGAGATTTATCAGGTTGTGTGGTAGTGATTGGCCCAGGATCTAGGCTTAAATGTGAGTCTTTCCAAGCTAGGATGACTGATCCATTCACTGGTGGCAGTTTCACTTCAGAATTCCCTCTTCCAATGTACCTGTAGACACTGCTGGGTGCTTTTGTGAGGCAGTGTATAATTTTCACCTATTGGAATGGATTTGACTGGGGCTAGCTGAAATTGTATTCTAGCTAATCTCTTATTTGTAGTGTTGGATAGTGTTGGTGTTTTATTGTTTTACCTCTATAGTTTTCAGAGAGATGAGAGACCCAAATGCATAAAGACTCATATTTTTCTTCATTAGACTTCTTGTTGCTCATCTGGAAAAGTGTTTTCTTTCTGTTTAGAAGTCTGCTCTTCTCCCTCCAATGTTTTGACAACATCCCCCCCCACCCAGTTTTTATAATTGTTCTTCTTTTTCCACATTAAATTTTCCTTCCATACCTATACCTCAACTATTTTTGCACAAACTTTTTTCCTGTTTTCTTACTTCCCCCTGAGTCCCAATGTAATCTCACCCTCTTTGTCAAAGTCAAATGTACGACGCTCGAACAAAGTTCTCAGAGCACTACAAAATTTATAACACTCCTTGGTAGTTTAAGTCTATGGGGGTTTGTCATAGTTCACAATTTTCCCTTATAAAGTTAATTTCTGTATGTGATCAGATAACCTTGTCAATGGTATCAGCGTTCATCTGAGTATCAAGGTACAAGTTGTTTCATTGCTTAACATTAGCTCACTCAATTTACAAGATGTATTCATTCTTACAACTATTGAAAGTTGCGAACAGAAGGACATTTAAAATATATTAAGCAAAACTCAGGTTGCAGACAAAAACTTTAAGAATCAAAAAGAGCAAGGAGAATGTTTAATTACATTTCTAAAGTCAGAAGTTTATAGGAGTTCTTAGCTTTTCTACTACTAGCAGTTGATCTGTTAGGGCAAGGAGGACACTTTTTCCCTCCCTAGGCCAACCCACCACTGCCCACTTCTAAGCTGGCAGAGAGCTGAGGTTTTCCCTATAGTCCTCTCCTGCTAAATTCTCAGCCTGAGATGATGTGTGTTTATGACGGGGTGAAGAAACTGAAAGAATGAGTGGAAAAGTCACTTTCTGTAGTTATAAATACCCACTTTTGCCCCATTTCTACCTGTCACCCAGGCTTTGCCCATCTTTGGTTGTTATAGTAAGCACCAGCCATCACTGTCAGTTCACACTGTGAAAATAGATGAGGACTAAAGAGCAAACAAAGCAATGCCTGATTTTAGGCACCTAACAAAATAGTAAATGATGATGTCAATAAATGAAACCCTAGTAAGCTGCTGGTTACACCCCCTCTTTTATCTAAAGAACAACCAGAATACATTGAACATCAGATCAGAAACTCCCAATGATCTTACTAGGAGGTGCTTCTTGCACATAAAGGATTCCAAGCTCCTTGTCATAGTTGCCAGAGGTTATATATCTATGTATTTGTTTACATTATTGTCATTACAACAGCCATATATTTGCCGCTTCTTGGATACTAGTTTTTAAGTGAAATTTTTCTGTTCTCTTAAACTATGTACTGGACCACCCAGTAATTTCCACATACAGACTGCTGAGCATGACCAGATGGTTTTGTACTTGTGATTCAGACAAACACAGCTCCAAGAGCTATGTAGCAGCTAAGGATAAATGTCACAAAAGGGTGGTATGGATGTCCATTATATTTTTAACTGAAGGGGGGGAAATGTGTTTAGATGTGGTAAACTCCTAAGTGGGATTTTAAATGAATTTCTACTGTAAACATCTTATAGTTAGTTATACATTATCTGTTTGTTTGTTTTTTCCTTTAAAAAAAAAACAGACGACTTTGCAGAAGAGGAGGAGGTTCAGTCCTTTGGCTACAAGCGGTTTGGTAAGTTAGACTGAATCTTCATGTTTTTATATTATTCAAAGAGGGAAGACAAAATGTTGAAATATTGTTCCAAACTGTTGTGCATGTTTCTAACTGGAATGAGATGAAGGCATTAGAAAGTACAGTATGTGATGCATATTTTTTTTTTAAAAAAACAGCAATATATTTACAGGAATAAAAGGTTAGAAACAAATTGACTGGTTCACTGGCAGTTGTACAAGGCTTACTTGTTACAGGGATTTGTTGTGATCATTGCTTATTTTCTTTCTGCTGTTGATTATTAGTTCTGTTCCTAATCCTTGCCATCTTGGAGGAGTCATTCACTGCTAGCAACTGCTATCTTAAGTTCAAACTAGATGAGATGCTCATATTGCATTTATAAGTACATTATAACCCCTTTTCCCCTTCCCATAACACAATTTCCTCAGAGATACGTATGAGCCTAAGCAATCAGACTTGCAAATTAAGCCCAGGTTTGCCTTCTCCTGACCAATCACAGACCAATGCTTGCAGGAGTATGGGAGCTGTGTTAAGCACATGCTATACAGGCACCTATCAGCCCTAAGGAAACTCTACAATATGGTAACTGTCTTGTCTTGCATGAACCTTGGTATTTTAAGGTTAAGTCTCTTCTTGCCAATAGAAGCTGGGAGTGTGCATCAGATGTCAATAAACAACTTCCCATCACCGCCATGAAGATCTGATTCACGAAGGATTGGTGCTATAGTTATGCACAAAGGTGTTTTGAAACTGAGCATCTTATTTGAAGACAGAGAAATTAGGGTTTGGCCAAATTTCTTCAGGGGAAGGTAAAGGTAAAGGTTCCCCTTGACATTTAGTCAGTTGTGTCTGACTCTAGGGGGCGGTGCTCATCCCCGTTTCCAAGCCGTAGAGCCAGTGTTTGTCCAAAGACAGTTTCCGTTGTCACGTGGCCAGCGCGGCTATACACGGAACGCTGTTTACCTTCCCACTGAGGTAGTACCTATTTATCTACTCACATTTGCATGCTTTCAAACTGCTAGGTTGGCAAGGAGCTGGGACAAAGCGACGGGAGCTCACTCCGTCACGTGGATTCGATCTTACGACTGCTGGTCTTCTGACCCTGCAGCACACAAAGGCTTCTGCGGTTTAGCCCACAGCCCGCAGTGCCACCACATCCCTGTTCTTCAGGGGAAGTTTTCCAACAATTTCTCAGAGGGAGGACTCACCATAAATAAAAATGTTAGTAAAGCTTTGTTTTTTATCCTTTAGGAATTTGGGGTAGGTGGGGTTACTGCCACTGCAGGGGGCAGCCACTATCATTGTATTGGCTGCTTGGCCACCATTTTCCTTCCTCCATCATTCCCTCTATCTAGTGTCATTCTAGAGCACAGTAGTGCTGGTCAGGTAAGCAAGCAGGCACCAGTAATAATGGTAGAAATTATTTGGAAATGTTTATTTGATGTGTGGAGACAGACATTTACAATGGCAAAAAATGCAACATTATTGTTTGCTTTTACTTTTCTTATTTTGAGTATGCACCATTACAAGTATTTTTGTAGCAAAACATGTTTCATGCGATTAGAGGCTGACACTGGGGAAACCCAGTCTAAAGCTATTCTGAGGCTGTTCACTTGAAAAAAGGATGCTAAAGGAGTGTTGGATAAGGAATGAGAAATTACAGTGGACCCTTGACTTAAGGAATTAATCCGTATTGGAATGGTGGCTGCAGATCAAAAAGTCTGTAGGTCAAGTCTCCATTGACCTACAGTGCATTGAAAACCGATTAATCCTGTAACAGGCCGTTTTTGTTCCATTTTGGTTTTTTTCTGGTCTGTAAGTCAATTCTCAGGCTGCAAGTCAAACCTAAATTTTGCGGCCAGAGAAGTCTGTAACTCAAAAAGTCTGTAAGGCAAGCCGTCTGTAAGTCAAGGGTCCACTGTACCCTGCATTGAGTCAAGGGCCTGAAATCAGCATTATGATAGCAGATGCCCTCTAGTGCAACAGGATTTTCTTTACTACATTCTTCCTCCAGCTCTCTGCATCACCCAAAAAACAACTGTGGAAGTTTTTCTCAGCATATAGAGTTTGAGAGCAGAGGTTCAATTTCTTCCTTATTCTACTGACAGAAGCAGTTCTAGTAATAGAAGCATCCCACCAGCTATGGGCTATACAGTACATCCCTATTCTTTAAATATTCCCAAAGCTATGGTGTGTCTGCCCAGATTTTGCTATAGACTGAATGACTTTTTCAGTTTGACTGGATTTACAATTTGGGTAATGGACACAAAACGCATCACATTGTTTCTGTAGTGCTTTCATCGTATACTTGCTCGGAACAAATGCAGCCAAATGAAAGCATTGTTAGACTTTGGGTATAGAAAAAAATGGGAATGTGGCATTCTGAGAATGACTTATGTGGATTCATGCTGTGAGATCATCTCATTGCAGAGCAATCTTCTGCCTGTTTACTTAGAAGTAAATGAGTTTATTCCCAGTTAAGTTGTTTTATAGCTGTATCCTGCACACATCTATTCAGAAGTAAATCTTCAATGGAGTACATTCCTGGTAAGGAGATGCAGCATTGTGGCTTATATATCAGTCTTAATAATGTCTGGCTTTCATGGGTATGCACAATCAGAAATTTTGCAGTAGTAAAAATATTCACATACCCTGCCCACAGCATAATGTTGTATCTCTTAATAACTTTTCAGCCCCTTGCCCTGACCAAAGTGACATGGAGTACAATATATTTTAAATGTATTAAAAAGAGATCTAAAACATTTTTTAAAATCCATTTGTTAAAACTAGTTTTGGAAGCTAAAGGCTATATGGAATAGTACAGGTTTGGATGCTTAAAAAACATCAGCAAGGTTGAAGCAAGCTTAACTACCCTTGGGAGCCCGTGTATTCATAGCGAATACACTGTTTCATATACCCACCACTCTATATAGCAGGGGAGACAATAGGCCCTTTGCTGAAAATCTCAAATTCCAGTTTGGCTGAAATGGAAGGAGTCGGGCTTTCAGTTATCCTGGCCACAAGCCATGTGAAATGTTGTGGGTGAAAACCAGCACCTCTGCTTAAGTTAAGGAATGCATTGGGAATGGTTCAAGATGGGTGATATATAGTCTCCAGAGTTCTGCGTTTTAGAGAGGCTATAGCTTCTGAACACTTTTTGAGGGCATACCCATCCATGCAGGGCACATTTTAGTATAGTAATGGATAGGAAATTAAGTCATGGGTCATTGTGATCAAATTTGGCTGTTCTGAAATGATCCACTTGTTTATCTACCACCCTGTAAGCAGATACTCCTTATTCTTAAACCAAAGCTTCATCAATGAAAATATCACCTAACCCCTGAAGCTTCATAAAAATGATACATAACAACGAAGACAGGTAGTCTTCAAAACTTGGCATGGATATTGTACACTCAGAATGGAAGAGTTCTGAGGCCTTGAATGAGTCACTTTTGAGTGCCAGAACTGAATCGAGGTTTTAACAGATTCAGTTTTTAAAATATTTCCGCTTCCATATTTCTATTTCTAAGAGCATGGTTATGTGCAAAAAAGCCAATTTATATTTCAATCAGATTTAGTATGTTTGAATCAATATTTTAAAAGTTGACTACAATCATGCACGTGGAAGCATGGCTGCTTTTCCCCCCCTTTTCTTCCAAGGAAGCATGTTGTTTTGGTTGGAAAGTGAGGTATTTTACTCAGCTGCCCAGCTGCCAGAAGGACAATTATTTTAAATTGCTTGTGATCTTGATTCATTTTGAATCATATTGGCATATGTGAATACCTCTGTTGATGTAAATTGTGTCTGTGGGGTTTGAACTGGTGTGCCTTCCCTTTTGCCAGTCCCAGCTGGCGGTTCTGTGCTTCCTTCCTTCTCCTTCCCCTCTGTGTATGTGCATGTGTCCTTCCTTCACAAGCCTAGAAGTGCCAATCTAGTCAACATCTCTGGTCAGTTTCAGCTCCCGCTGGTGGTTCTATGTGCCTGTCTCCGTACTGTGTGTTGGGTTACTGGGAAACGTCTCTTGCCATAAGTTGGAGGCAACTTGATAGCATGTAACAACAAATGTTGTTGTTTTTTGTCACTTATCCATTCCACGTAGAATGATGGCCTGATACAAAACAGGCCAGAGTATGACAAGCAGCAACAATAGAAATTCCACATTCTGTACTAACATTAAAGATGCAGGAGTCCTGTTCTCTTTTGTATGTGCAATTGGAATTTGGAGTTTCTTGCTGGGTGACCATTCAGCAGAGTTCATGCTTGGGTTTCATCAGATCATCAATGTTTTTCTATCTGTATTTTAAATTATAATCTTTCAAATTTTCTACAATTTCCTATTTTATTCAGCAAAATGCTGATTCTGTGTTAAGCAGCAATACTATTAACAGAGTCCTTGCAGTCCGGCATAACACTAGCTCGGTATGACTGACAACTGTAGTTGGAGCATAGACTTGAATGATGTTTATGTTGATAGGTTTTTGTAGAAGTCTGATGGATATTATTATCACCTTGTATTATAGCCCCTAACCACCTGTGCTACCTCTTGCCTCAGCATTAGAGCCGCCCCATTTCTTCCAAGTTTGTCATTTCCAGATTAGAACACTTTGTAGTTGACTGAAAATATCCCAGTCCAGTCCACTTTAGTTCACTGTCACCAGGCACTGCAATGTTTAAATTACCCGTTTCTTGCTTTACGGTTAGTATAGTTTAATGATACGAGTAATTTCTGGTTGAACTATCGCAGACCAGTGGTTGGCAAAGCCAAAATGCATCTTGAGTACTTACCATAAGGTATTGCTAGTTACCCCTGTTATCGCCATAATCAGTAGAGTTTGCAGGATTAAGAGACCAGTATATTGGCACTGAGATGACCAGGGGAGAGAAAAAGAGGAGGATGCTCTGGCTCCCTCAATACAGACCTCTAAAGGTTCCATCTTACACACTATTTTGGAAATTCCTCCTAGCTCTAGGATTCCATGTTTCTTAGAAGTTGAGGACA